GAGGTGTTCTCGAGCGGTCGCGAGACGTCCCAAACCCTCCTCTGGGTCCTGGGACGTCACAACGTATTTGTGGGAGCTCGTTGAGGGTTTCTCTGAGGGTGACTCAATGTCCTCCACCCATCTATTTAGTTTTTCTTTATTTGTTGGGCTAGAAGAGGCCAAATCTGATCCAACTGGTGTCAGGTCATCAGAATGTACAAATGGGATTAACTTATTTTTTCCAAACCGAAATTTCAGTAAATGTGACACTGGGAGATAAATTACCTTTTTCTTTGAGGAGATCAGGGCTGTTTTTGGAGGCTGGTTTGAGGCTGTATTCTTCCATGGATCGATCAGGACTGTTCATCAGGTCATCAGACGGTAAAAATGGGTGTACCTTATTTCTTCCAAACCGAAATTTCAGTAAACGTGACACTGGGAGATAAATTACCTTTTTCTTTGAGGAGAAAGGAGTGTTTTTGGAGGCTGGTTTGAGGCTGTAATCTTCCATGGATCGATCAGGACTGTTCATAAGGTCATCAGACGGCAAAAACGGGTTTACCTTATTTCTTCCCTTATTTCTTCCAAGCCGAAATTTCAGTAAACGTGACACTGGGAGATAAATTACCTTTTTCTTTGAGGAGACAGGAGTGTTTTCGGAGGCTGGCTTGGGGCCGTAATCTTCCATGGGTTGTTGAACAGAGGACCGAACTTTGCCATTTTCTGAACTCTGTTCAACATTTGTAAAACCTTCTTTAGGTTTGTTCTGGTGGCCAAAAACGCCTCTTGCCATTTTGAAGGCTTTGCTGGTTGCCCTTTTCAGGACATTTTTCTTGACAACCTTCGATTTGTCGACAGACTCCGACGTACGGCTGACAACAGAGTCTCTGAAATGGTCCAGTGTGTCTTTCTGGGTATTTCCGACGAGACTGGACATGTCTGAAAAACATTTAAGCAGGCTGTCGCAAAAACAATCCGCTGCGGTCTCTGAAATGTCTTCGTAGCATCTTGCCACGGTGACCTTGGCAAACATTTTAGTGAAATCCAGCATTAAACTATGCTGAACCTCCTCTGAGGTCATTTCACACAGACTATCTACATATTCTTTCCACATGTCTGGAGTAACCATCGATAACAAATGTGCTGTAAGTGTGTCGATGTTACCGCAGTGTTTGGGGCGTTCCTCGTTCCCACTTGTGTGGTCGACCACAGCTTCAGGCCCTGGCAGGTCGTTGGTTTGAAGTGGTTCACCTGAAAGGCCTTGGCGAATCATCATCATTCTTCTATCCATGATGAGTTTTCCAACTTTTATTGAAAAATAAAAATGGAAAAGTCAGTTAAAACTCTTGAGAACACCTCTNCTGAGAAGCAGATTTCTTCATGACTCTGGTTAAAGTCAGGGATGTTTTAACACGATTCTTCTCCATTGAGAGCATGGTCAGTGCAGTGAGATGTGATGTTGTACCTGAGGAAAGTCTGGATTCTTCAGTGTTGAGAAGCTCCTCTCAGATTCAGCTGTGGTCAGAGGAGATGTGATGAGAATCTTCAGCAGAGTCACAGTCTCGGAGGGTGTCCTGCAGGCTGTTCCCCATGGGCTGGTACAGAGCCACATCACCACTGCAGCTCCAGAACTAGATCAGACTTATTGGTCCTGTTCAGCATTGGTTGAGCCTCCATGCTCTTCAGAGCCGCTTCAGAAAATTGTCTGTGATCCTGCAGGAATCTGCCTGCCTGCAGCACTGATAAGGGGCCTCATGTACAAAGACTTGCGTGGATTTCTTACTGAAACCTGACGTACGGTCAAATCCAGAAAACGGCATTCGCACAAAAAAATCCAGATGTATCAAACCATATGTACGCTGGAACCCACGCACATTTCTTTTGTACATCACAATTAACGTGGAACTTGTGGAGATTCTGGCAGGAACAAACCCAGGGTGCAGGCAGGCTCAAAAGTATAACAAAAATTTATTTTTAAATAACAAAAAGAGGGCTGCTGGCAGCAAACTTACAGATACTGAAGAATCACAGGTACAAGGGGAACAAAGCACGAGGAACCAGAACCAACACATGAGACACAACAATGATCCGACAAAAGACAGAAACAGGGCAGGGCTTAAATACACAGAAAACTAATTACTAAACAGAACACACCTGGGGAGAAACACAAGGGTGACAATCAAGGAGATGTGGGGCAGCTGGGCAAAGACACACTGGGGAACATAGAAAACACTAGGAAAACTAAGGAGAATAAACACAGATTATGACAGAACTGAGTGTACATGAGGCACCTCCCCTGACACGCCTTCATTAACATATGTTAAACAGATGCTAATTATTTCCTGCATGTGTGAAGGACTTGTTTGTTTGATCCCTGCGCGATCAGAAATGATTTCTAGATTCAGGAAAATAATGAATTTAATAAAATGTGAGTGAGAAAAAAATCCTAAGTAAAAACAGGAATAAAATATGTTTATCACGCAAAGAACGAGTGATTGTGTATCGGTGTGTGTGTGTGCGCGCACGCTGCTGTGTTGCGCAACAGGCTTATCCATCCATTCTGAGTCTGAAAATATAAACTTTGTGCACGAGTTTATTACCATAATTACTRTAAACACAGAGGAACTTAAATGTTTGGTAGAACATAGATCTTAGTTTATTTCATAGCTGATATTAAAAAACGAGTCTCTGCATCTCAGTAGAGAGTTCACATGAYGTCGCGACGTCGACAGGGTGAACCCCATAGAAATGAATACCAGAGGTCAGCAGCGGMGCRGTGACGAGCTGYGCCACAAGYTAGTRTATTATTTTGCATTGGGGACTTACTGCGCATGTCCAAAATCCTACAATGACTTGCCTATGGGAGTCTGGAGCGGYRAACAGCCCGTGACCCGGAAGTGACTCAACACGGAAAAGTTCATGAGTAAAATGGAAGTTTACAAATCAATAACT